TTCCTCCTGGAGTTAATGCAGCAAAAGGGAAAAGTGGGTTTTTGTGTGATTTGGGTGCATTTCTGCCAGCTTGCCTTAGCCCTGGAGAAAACCAAATTGAAGCTGCCGTGAAGGGCCATTCAGTCATTAGTCCATGGGGTGTCCAAGCCATGGGATTTCAGTGTTACCCCCAGGGGAGCCCAGGCACTAAGGCAAATCTTCCCGAAAGACGCCCTGCTTTGATTTATTCAAATACACCCCGTAGCACCATCAAAATCCACAGCCACAAGAAGGGCTTCCTGCCATGGATATGCAAATATTGAGATCAGCACAAACGAGCAAACCCCAGCTCTCCTGGCACAGAGCAAACTGCCACTGCTCTTTGCCTCTGGTCGCAGAGCACCCGTGGCTCCAACCCCAGGCCCCCCTCTGCCATGGCTCGTGTCAAGTCAGTGCAGAGCTGCTCTTGAAAGCTTCTGCTGAGAAATAATCCCAGCAGTTTGTTCTAGGGGTTGCCTTTTTGTGTGATGCCCCCAAGGAGCCTGTGCTGACCTGCCTTGAGCCACCTTTGGGTTTGTCCAGCTTCTTTAACCCCAGACCAGTGTGTCCAAAAAGCGAGTCTTGGTCCTTCGGCAGCTCTTGCTACTTTTTTTTTTTCCCTCTGCCAGAATCTCACTGCTCTTCTGGAAATAAACAGCTCCAGGGGCTGCTTGTTCAAAACGCACATTTTTGCAGCCTTATTACCCTAGCGATTCTTTCCAGAGATTCTCTCCCCACGTGTGATTTGCTCCCTGCTGTGAGCTGCTCCGAGACCCCACCAGCGTTTCTCAGCTCCTTCTCCTGAGAAGCAGCAGGGGAAGGTGGTCCCAGTTCCCCCAGCCCCCCATGATGCTGGAAGCGATGCCGGAGCCGGCAGGGTGGAAGAGATGTATAAAGATGGAAGCGGTGTGCCTAATTAATGGCCTGAAACCAGCTGTAAAGGTCAGCTTGTTTGCGGGGGACGCGCTCGAGGTGACACGTGTGAACACCAACTTGGCTGCCGTGCCTTGGAAAGGGCATTGTTGCCCACCCGGGAGGGTGGCTGGCGGAGGGTGAGCTGTCAGAGGAGGATCGATAGCCTTCAGCCTCACTCCTTAGCACGCACCCGGGCTCTCCCACCTCTCCAGGAGAGCCCCTGGCTCTTCACGGGGCTCTGCTGAGAAACCAGGCTGCTTTCCCAGGGAAAGGGCAGGTTCCTGCGGCTCCGTGGAGCGTGATGCTGCCGGAGAACAGGCTGGTTTCTGGGCTGGCTCCTCAGGCACTCGTTGGCTGAACTCAAACTTCAGAGTCCTTATAACCTGTACCAGCACTGCCTGCAGCACGCATTCAAAAACTGAGCATCTGTATGCAAATGCTGGGGGATTGATATAAAAATGTGATTTACTAGCTGCTTTTTTCCCCCCTGAAGCTTTTCTGTGCAGCCTTCCATGGTTTACAAATTTAAGTTTCTTGCCTAATCCCAGAACTGTGGGAGTTGAGGCTTTATGAATATTACAAATTATCATCAGGCATGGTATAGTCTCGTGCAGACGGCCGACCTGTAGGATGGGGTGCACCACGAGTTGTCATGTGAGGTCTTAAGGGTCCTTACCAGCCCCAGCAGTTTCTGACCACCTTTCATCTCAAGAATTGGGCAGAGCCGCGAGATGAGCTGCAGAGGAGATAAAGGGGAGACCTGGCATTAGTGGGTCACTTTGCAGACAGCGCTGAGTGCTGCTGCTGTCTATAAAATCAGAGATGTCACACTCGCAATGATGGTGACCGTGTGAGGAAAGTGCCTTTGATGAGGCAGGTTTTTCTCCCTCTCTGGGATGAATACAGTGCCATCCCAGCTGTTCTCCACTCGCAGAGAGCTCTCTTTCCAGTGGTTTCTGGAACAAACCCTTTTCTTAAATACTTTAATATTAAAAGGGAGAGTGTCAGGAGGACAGGGACGGTCTTTTTTCAGTGGTGCCCAGGGATAGGACACGAGGAAATGGGTGCAAACTTGAATATAAGAAGTTCCACCTAAACATGAGAAGGAACTTCTTTACTTTGATGGTGGCAGAGACCTGGAATGGGATGCCCAGGGAGGTGGTAGAGTCTCCTTCTCTGGAGATATTCCAAACCCACCTGGACATGTTTCTGTGCAACCTGCTCTGGGTGACCCTGCTCTGGCAGGGAGTTGGACTAGATGATCTCCAGAGGTCCCTTCCAACCCCATGTGATTCTGTGATTCTTCAGGCTTTTGGCTTCAAGTGTCCCCCTCACATTCTTCATCCCATTCTTCATCTTCAGCCCTGCTCAAAGCTCTGCTTTTCTGATGCGGTGGCTCAGGTGTGAGTTGTTGGCTGGGTTTAGCTTCAGGTGGACTGAGGGTGTCCAGCCAACAAAGGAGACAGAAAAACAAGGCAGCTGGTCATCATTATTTGTTATTTAAATCTGCTCTCTGCCTGTGTTGGGGAACAGAGCTCAGCTCTGCAGAGAGCATGGGGACATGCAGGGTGTTTCCAGAAAGGCACCAGCCCAGGTTTGGAGCAAAGCATCTCAGGCAGTCCGTGGTGGCCTTAGTGCAGGTGTGCTGTAACGACTGGGGTCAAACTGGTCAGAGAAGGGGTTATCCTCATCAGACAGGGCATGGTCTGCACCTTCACTCTCTCTGGGTCCTTTCATCCAAGCAGTGACCAAGGAGGCCTCTGCCAGGGGGGATCTCAAGCCCCTGCAGATCCCACATCTAAGGGAGAGGAAGACCCACCGTGGGGCAGAGCTACGTGTCCTCCTGCAGAGCACACAGGTCACTGGCAACGAGCAGGAGGCAGATGGTCACCAAGTCCAGCATCTCCTCCACCTCCCGCCTGGCCTTGCCATAGACTTAGGTGAGTCCCTTCATCCTTTGTGTCTCCACTTCCCCCTTGCTGTGGTTGTGTGTGGCTCCTTTTGGGTTGGATTTACAGGTTTGAAGTCACTCCCTGCAGGTTGCCCTCTTCCTAGGCAAACCGGCGCCATGGGTCCTGCGCTCCCTTGGCTCGAACAGTGGGATTCCCCCTCATTTTCCCTCTCGAGGGAAATGGAGCCCCGTGGAGGCTGTGCTCTCCAGCTCCCAGACCCCATCTCAACCACTCCTGGTCCCTCTCTCCAGGCGTCATCGCTCCTGGGCCTGGCTTATAACACGGCGTGTGGCGTGGGGACGAAGATGACAGGGCTTCCTCCGTCTCGTTCATTGGCCCCGGCCTTCAGGAGGGCGATTAATTGCGAGCTGCCTGAATCTGGAGCACCCAGCGAGCATCATCGGAGCCACCTGAAAATGAGGGAGAAGAGACGGTGAGGGAGAGGATCAGGGCTGGAGTCCGCCTGCCCTCCCGGTGAGTAATCTGGGAGCTGACAGCTTTGGGGGCCGGGCGGGCTACCAGGGACGTCACCATTGCTCTGTCACCCTTAAAAAGGTCCCGTGTTGGTGCTGCAGCCGCGCGGGTGGGTGACACCACCCCCCGTGATGCTGGGGGATGCTCCCCAGGGATGGGGCAGGGTGTGGGGGCAGCTGCCCTCCTCTGCCTGCTGCCCACCTCCCTCCCTCTTGCCCGTGGGGCTGGGGAGAGCCAGGGGGGAGCACGGGGGAGGAAAGGGGGGGTCTAGGAGGAAGCCTGGCGCTGCGGGGTGGAGGCCCTAG